TAAATATCTGAATTTAGAAAAAGGAATTTCATATAATTCAAATATGAAAGTTTTTGAGTGTGAAAAGTTACTGAAATATTTTAAAAATATTGTATTTTTCTTTGTGAATTATTATTAATTTTTTGCATTATTCATGTAAACAAATTCAATTTTCAAATATTTTAGACATTAAAAATAGTACAGTATTGATTATTCTCATGAATTTTGTCTCAAATACAAAATATTCAATTCCATATGATAAATATAATTTAGCCTACTTTGAGAACTATATCCGCTTTTGTACAAGACTTGTTTTAGCAGTACTAATTTGATTTAAAGATAACTGCTACATTGATATACACGTATGAAACACGTTGCTATCAAAAAGTAACAAATATTGCAATAAAATTTTGTGAAATTGTAAAATTGGAAATGAAAAATAATAAAATTTAAATAATGCAAATTGAATTTCTTAAACTATAATAGCCCACTTCACAGGTGCTGTTGAAGCTGTTCATATCAATCGTCTGATCAATCAGACACCAATGTTAGCTGATCAATCATATCCCGAAATTTCTACGCACATTAATACCATTACTGATTTTCAACGTATCCGACGACTATCACAATTGCCAATTTTCAGTCTAACTAAAACAGTCAGAGAAAAGATTTTCATTTATTTGAAATTTGTTTTTTAATTCACTCCCACAGATTATAATTAGTAATTTGATTTCAAACTACTGATTAATAAGGACAAACTTTGGTAATGAATTGGGTCAGTTAAATAAACAAAATATTCATAATTACCTTCAAAAATAAACATTACAATCACTTTCAGTCTTATTTCTGAGAATCTTTTTTTTCGTAGTTAAAATTTCCATTTAATTTGAATTTTTGAATATTAGAAGGAATAATTTTATTAAATTTCAGGATTTTGAGAAGAGGTCAACGTTTTCTTCAACAGAATCTTTATCCTCCTCAACTTCGTCCTTCTCAGCAATTCAGCAATTGCTTAGTCTGCAATATTTGTTAATTGCTTATGCATTTTTTTCGCTTGCTTACTCAATCGTTCTTATTTTAACTTTAATTTCTTATATTCAGTTACTGCAACTACAATAAATTACTTCTTCAAACAAATATTTACAAATGAAAGTGATCAGAATTCAATTTGGTTAGTAAATTTTAAGACTCCTGCAAACGTGTACTTTAGCGTAAACTAACGTATAAATATTTACTTTAGTCAAACAGGAAATAGATTTTTAAGGCTAAAATTTTTAAATATGTAAATTAGTGAATGGCAAGAGATTTAATTTTTTAAATTTGTTTCTTTATTACATAAGACATATTAATTACAAATAGATAATCTCATAGTAAGAGATTTTATTTTCATTGAAATGTCTTGAGAAAATTATGATTTTCCATCGATGTTTGTAATTTCATTAAAATATAAAATAAGATTAAAATAGAATCTGAAATGTTTAGATTTAACACACAGCACTTCATTGGTTGAAAACTATAGACTTGAAAAGAATGCATGAAAAATAATAACTTTATGCCATAAAATTTAAATTTTGAATTTGCATAAATTTTGTCACAATGAATATTTTATGCAAATTGCGTTGTTGACTTCATAACGTTATTGTACGAGATTGCTTGCAATTATTTTTAAATTAATAGCAGCAAACAAATTTGGTTGTATTTTTGAAACAGATTGCTCTTTAAATTGTTAGTTGAAAACTATTAGTTTGAAGAAAAATTAACAAAAGTTATGCTTTTGAATATAATCTTCATAATCTCATTAATGGCTAAGTGTGCTATTATTTAGCTAATTATGACTGCAAAGTCAGTTTTTACGTTCAATAATAATAAGTAAGGATTTTATTGCTTTCTAAAAATAACAAAGGTTAAAAAATATTACAAACATCTTTCTAAATTTACCACGAAAGTTTCTCTAAATAAAAGCAGTTTTAAAAATTAATATAACTAAAATTCATGCTCTGCTATATTTTACTGCGTTTAAAATTTTCGATGATTTTTAATTATATTTAATAATTGTCAAAAATTAAAACTGTGGTAATCTTATTGTTCCTAAATAACGAACACAATTTTAAAATAGCTTTAAGTACATTTCAGGTTTTATGCAAACTTAATTTGAAAAGATACGAAAGATTGTTTTAATGGCTTATTTTTGTAAAATTTGATGCAAATGATATCACAGCAGTCCATATTTTAACTTATATTATTTTGATATCACGAACGTATTTTTCACTTTTATGTACAAAAAAATAATATTAATATTAATAATACTGATTGTCCAAAATGTAAACATAAACAAGTTATCAAATGATGCACATTAAAACATCGTTATACAAGTCGTTACGTAACAAGTTAAGGCTATAGGTGGAATTTATCAATTAGCATAGTAGCAAAATGCGTGACCTTTCATCGACTTAACAATAAATAAATATAAGTTATTGAATGTAGCAAAAAGAAGCAAAAAATGGACAAAATCCTTCAGATTAACTTTTTTTGTCAGCAGATCACACTAAAAGTAATCATTCAAAGAATCTAAATTGTATGCAACTTTTTATGAATTTTGAGGATGTCAAAAGTTTGCTACTATAATTAGAAATAAATTTCAACCAGAAGAAAGGTTCGTTTTTTTTTGAAAAGTTTCAGTAGAAACTTCGTTCGATGTTAAAATTCGCTTGGAACAAAATAGCGTCATCTACAAGACTGAAGGATATGTTTGAGAGTCGGTTAAATGAGAATGACTTCAGATCCAATCCGGTTTTAAGCTTCTGACTCATTAGATTAGTCAGAGTCCTCTTGATCGTTTCTCGCAAACCGTTTAGGGATTGTGGCAACAAACCAAGAAAATCTGTGTTCTCGGCAAAATCTAGTTTTATTACCTTAGCCGATCCTAAAAGTTTTATCGCTAGCAAGCAAACTTTCAAGCACTACACATGAAATCCTCTTCGGAGATTTGACTTTCTTTAGTGATAAACATTCTACAAATTTATTGCAGAAATGAATTTTGTTACATCTTTACATGCAAAAAGTCAGAAGCTCAATTATTATATCATCATAAGAATCTTTTGTGTGGCAAAAAATAGTGACTATTTTTAATTTACTGAAAATTTCAGTTTTGATCTACACTGATGGACATTTGGTAAATTGGTAGTTGCCAAGTGGTCACAGAAGTATTTGTCCAACTAAAGTATTGGATACTTTTTAAGCTTGTTTTTGCTAACGAAATCAGATACCAGAAAACTGTAAAATGTAGTCCGAGTTTTGGAGCAAAATTAAGAAGTAAAAAGTAAGAAAATTAAGTTGTAAAAATTTGCGAATTGTTAATAAGCAAACTTGCCAAAAATTCGATGATGAGAAGTGGAAATATTACATTGTATTTTTGAGCTGAATGGTATACTACCAATTTCCTTGGAACTTTTTCGTACAAAAATTGTTGCGTGACCTTTGAGTGTTATAGTAGCGGAACCTAATATATGAAATATTTTTGAATTCACGGAGAAAAAAGAAAGCAATCTTTTAAGAATAAAAAGTTAGTAAAAAAGGTAGTTGCGAACAATAACTGTAACTTTTCGTTATTAATTTAAAAAAATTTTGAACCTGTAGAAATCACCGCTTTTGGTGGTTCAGTAATGCTTAAAATTATTTCTAGGTGCTCATTTGGATACCTTTCACCAATTTCAGGAACAACATCTGACATGCAAATTTCATCTAATGTACACGTAGTACGTAATAAATTCCCAAAAGTTGGAGTTGTAGAGGAAATATTAAATTTCAAAGCACCAATCCTGAAAACAGCAATAATTGACGACACAAGATTTATTAATGATTTGATTACCAAAATTAATTATCAGCGGTTCATAATCAAATATGTTCAATATATAAAACAGAAAAATATACTTTCACTCTTATATATTTGACTTCGCAGTTTTGTCTAAGTTGAGAAAATTGTATCACTTGATATTAAAATATCTTTTAAACTAATTTATTTCCAAATTTGGTTGCGAGAATATTAAAGTTCTGACAAAGTGATATCTAACTCATGGGCTTTTAGGAAGAGAGTATTAATAGTATATTCGGAAATCAACAAATCCATGTTATTTTCATCATTAATTCCAGGAAACCGTAATCTCTCCGGTCGTTTGTAAGGAATCTGAAGATAACAATCACTTGTAATTTTTGGTTTTTCTCTGAATAAATATGGCAATTAGGTTCTTTTACTTTCAGTAAATGCTGATTCTAAACTACAATACTTTACATTCTAAATTCTAAGACTGCAATTTTATTGATTTCAATCTCATTTAATGTACATGTAGTATAGAACCTAATCATAATAGACACAAGTACGGTAAAAATATAACATATTTATAATTTAAGCTAACTATGCAATGTTTGGAAGGAACAAAATGCTCAAATATTTGTAGAAATAATTTTTGAGTGCCGAAATAGAGAAGATTTTTTTCTGAGCAAATAACACGGATTACTGCTGTAATGAATTTGTAGAAATTTTCAAATTTCTAGATAAGTTTACTGATGTTAGGATTCAGATGATGTAAAGGAGAAGCTAACTTCAGTTCGATCGCGCACTCCAAAATTAACGTTGCCATCAAAACCGATGAAAAATTTGTCAAGTGTTGCGCTTGTATCCAAAATACTCAGTGAAATGATCAAAAATGCCAACTTTCTTAGAAAATCTTGCCAAGTGCTGTTAGTCTAAAATGAAAAACTAATCAAATTATGAACGAATAATCAATAAAATATAATTTCTAGATGAAAAATTCGTTTGCGAAAAAAAATAAACTTACAATATTTGTTTCTGGAGATTTTTGTGATGCTTGGTTATTAAATGCAGAAAAGGGTCGAGAGTTTACGGTTGTTTGGTGAATATTACTACCATATTGGGATCCAATAGAAAATGGTCTTCTCGATGGGATTAATTCAAATTCATTAGATAATTGTGCATCGGAAATATTCTGAGAATTCATGTAAACTGCAACAAATAAATATCATTTCAAAAAATTCTTTGAGCGGGAATGATCGGCTTAAAATTACTTTGAAGGATTTTTTGGGGTAAAAATTACGCGAGAAAAAATGCAACAAAATGTCTTTTTACTAGTTCTGTACAAAACTAACTTAGTTAATAAAGTAAATAATTATTAAGTAAGTTTGTTAGTGTATACATTGAATAATCTAACCTGGAAGATGATTAGATTCTAGTTTCAGTGCTCTTTTTTTCTTCTGTCCCTTAAAATCTTCTGATTTCTGAAAGAAACTAGAAGTCATTGAAAGTAGCGTATTTGATTACATTCAAAGTCAGAAGCGCATCAACTATGAAAAATTTTAAAAAATAATATGTAACTTTAATAAACTGAAAAAATGTGTGACTTTTAAAATAATAACCTCAAAAAATATTGCGAACAAGTTATCAACTGATAATTTTCGTGGGATTTCAGAAAGGCGAGAGTTCATTTCATTGTGGATCACGTTGTTTACAGTATTACATAAAGTATCTTGTAACATTTTCCGAGCTTTTGCTGTCATTTCTTGCTAGAATTTTTCTCAATTTTTCTTTTTTAATTTATTTATCACTTTGTTATATATTAATATTGCTTACAGCACTTTAATTTAGTAATTGTTTATCACTGCTATAAACATAAATTTTATTCTTAATTAATGTTTTGATTTTTAATAAAAATACAGTTTTAATATTTGTATATCTGCCAAGACTACTTACTCTAAATAGTATCTCTTTTTTCATATTTTTTAATTCTATTTACAAATAAGTCGAAATACTAATTAATGTTCATTTTTTGAATGATTTGTTCCAGCAAATGAAATTTAAACCTGATATTTGGCATTTACGATCTCTGTAAGCAAACCCATATTTTCTATCCTAGCCAATACAAAATCATGAAATAAATCGCAGCTAATCATCCGAATAAACGGAATATCTTTTGTGGTTTTTTGAATATCAAATATGGCTTCTATTCCCAATTGACGTGCAGATACTGTCAAAATGCCATATATAGGCAATGTTATAGGTATAAGCAGTAACGGATTTATCTGCCCAAACAGCGTACCTGCGATGCTTTAATATTCATCTTAGTGACAGTTAGTAAATAAGTCACTAAATTTATTTTCGATTTTCATTGAAATTTGTCAGTGGAAAACAATTATATGTTTTAAATTGAAGTGGGAATCAATTATCAAACTGCTGAATATTAATATCTTTAATAACAATAAATGCTATGTGACAAGTTTTTTAAAATCACTTTTTGGAAATGACATTTTAAACTTACTGAAAGTCAAAGTCAATAATTCGAAACATTATTTGATTTGGTGGTCTGGGTAGCACTTCTACGCGGGATGGATTTCGATGCGCGATGATTCTCAGGCCTTTAATACTCACGCACCCTTCAGGAAAACAACTTTCTTGAGGAGCAATTACTACTCCCTCTGTTCGTTTCTTGAATAAATAGTCTGAAGTAGAAAGTAAAACTTGCATCCTCAATTCATAAACGTTATTAGAAAAAGCAATTTGCTTTGTAACGATCGTGAAATATTTGAATAATGACAAGACTTTGAAGATTGAAAACTTTTACGAATATTATACGTACGATATTCTGCGAATTTAATTTGGAAATGAATTTGTCGCAAAAGTCATAAATGCTAAATACCAAATGACAGTACTTTTTTAAAAATAAATGCGCATCAAAACATCTGTCTTATTTAAAATATAGATATTTATTTTAAAATTTTCATCTCTGCAAACTAATCTGTTTTGTAAATAATAAATTTTTTTTAGTTTTAGTGACAATAATATTAGCACAAATTACCGACAACTCTCGAAATTTGATGAAAAATGCCATCTCCAAATCGCATACGTATAGCTGATCGCAAGGGAACGAAAGTTTGCGATTTCCCATAACAGTCGTTAACATCTTTCGCCAACCATATAGCGATCTTCAAAAACTTTGAAAGATTTGATTTTAAAAAAAATGTTCATCTGCATCAAGTTTGTGTTCTTCTTCAGTTTATTTATAAATAGCAACAAATCTATAATATTTTTTTCAACAAAATGGTCAAAATTAGTTGGAAAAATACTCTTCGAAATAAAGTATTGCAAAAAGTTGAAAATTTAGAATGAATTAATAATAAATCAGCTATTTTCTGACTTCAAAAATATGGGTAGCTGTAACTATAATCGTTACTTTCTAGCATCACTAATATTTTTACCTATTATTATGTGAAAACGATATTAAGGCATCTAAGAAAATGTATCCACGACTCATAAGTGTATTAATCCCAGATTAGATAGTTTAAAACTATTCAGTATTTGAAGAAATACTCACAGTAAAGCAAGCACAAAAATGGAAATGGTTAAATACTTTATCGATAATTTTTAAAATAAATGAAAATCGGTTTGAATATTAACAAAATGAGATTCATTTGAATTTGAAACGTCCAAACTTCTAAAAAGTCTGATTTTATAATTTAGTTATCACTAATTCATCATAAAACTCCTATAAAAATAAGTCATAACTAAGCGTGATGTTGCGTGGTTTGAATTAACAAATGACTAACCGTAAGGAAGGTAAAGTGATGCATATGATGATTATTTTTGCAGAAATTCTGCAGTACAAATTTTAAAAAGAAATTTCCTTCGTTTTCAATTTACGCGTTTAATTAATTAATTGATTGATTAATTAATTAATTAATTAATTAATTACGCAATAATTACTAAGTACAGTGGCCTCAGGAAATAACAGTAGTCAAAACAATGTTGGTGTTAATTACTTTCAGAATTAAAAGTTAAGAAGTAAAAATAAAATGATGAAAAAGTATGGAGAAAAGCAGATTCAGAATGTCAAATATGAATTATAACATTAGTTGAAATCATTTCGAATGGTTTTAATGATTGCACAAAGTTGAAAATAAATAATTGCGAGAAACTGGAAAAGTAATTCAAGTTTTCAATTCATTTCTTCTGCTAACTTTTTTGAACGGTTTCAGTGGTTGCGCAAATTTTTCAGCGAGATACTCTTCTTCTTTTCATTAAATATAATTAATTAAAAAGTTAAATAAACAAATTTATTTGTCAACAAATAATTTATAACTGCAGTTTTTACACACTTTCTACACATATATTTTTACATATGTTTTTTTATTTACATTTTTTATTCTTTGTATCTTTTTTCATTTTTCGCGAACATGACAAAAATTATTCAATTTTGATTTTTGACTCAAACTAACTAGTGACTTTTTAGATAATTTAATAATAATAATAATGATAGTTAAATAATATAAATTATACCTAATAAATAATAATTTTTTGATTTGTGCTTTGACTTTTGGCCTAAATCAATTGGTTGATTTTTCACCTTCATTAGGCAGTATTCAGTGAAATTGAAATTGAAATGGAATTTGATATTTTTAAGAGTGGAATCATTTTGTGCCTTATACGTTCCAATTTACTGTCAAAACTGATTTCAGTTGTACATTTTAGATATAAACTTTAGTAATTTACTTAAAGATTTTTTCATGATTTATTAAATTTACTACGCAAACACACACTCTCCACTAGCAAAGCGATAATTTATCGAAACAATAATATTCATGCATTAAGACTTCACAGACAAATCTTTTCACATTGGTCATAGCTTAGACTAATTTGTCAAAAAATAGTTTCCTCCAAGCAAATTCAATAAAGGAATCTAGTGATGACGGAAGAAAAGAGAACTAATAATGAATTTTTTATCGAGAAATGTTTATTTCAAGTTTAAGATATTGTAACATTACATTGTAATAAAATTTATTACTTCTTGGATAATAAAAACTTTAAAGTAAAACCACACACTAAAATCTGAAAGTAGATAGATGTAGAGGAAAACTTATTGAAATATTCATCTGGCGTGAATCTGACGTATCCATTTGATCCAACTGCTAATCATCCAATCTCTAGCCATAGAAGGGGTAAACGGAAGATGCTAAGATTTAACTTTGGACTCGCTTCAAAAAGTTTGCAACTTAGCATTTTTGAGGTAAATTGGAACCAGTTTTTCGATGATATGCCATCTCTGTGCATTTCTTTTCAAGGACAAACAGTTTTTTCGGTTAAAATTCCCTTCCAATTCATTTAAACGACGATATTTCAATCTATTGTTAAAAGTTAAAAATTTAAAGAACAAAATTCCGAAAACAACACAGTAAACTTATTTGTATTCCATGATGTTTGACACCTATTAGACTACCAAAATATACTCAGTATCATAAATTGTAACTCTTCATTCTTCGTAACTTTACGACAAAATTCATTTTTAGCTCACAAATTCAAGAAACTTCTCAAGGTAACATAACCATAGAAACTTCTTGCAATGCTTCAAATACTTACACTTGGTAATCAGTCACATTCAAAACTTCTCACTCAGTTGCATACATTACACATCAGACGTGCTCTTTCAACCAGCACCCTGAATATTACTCCCGCGAATTATGCTAACTAGCACATCCACCTGCGTGTACCCAACTGAATTTCAATGTCAAGCAAAATCATGAATTTACTTCTATTATTGTTCAACTCAAATGCATCCGCGATCATTAATAAAAAATAATACTTGCACACAGTAATGACATAATTTGAGACTATGACAACACCACAATTATGCAAGTATTCGAAAAGGTGACAAATGCTGAACTTGCCATACCTTGCAGAAAGATCTATAGTGCATCGAATGATAAGCAAGAAATGATCACCGAGTTGCACAATAAATAAAGCAAAGAAAATATAAAGATACTACAAGAACAGAAAAAATAGAACGAAGCGATACCTGCAGTAAGATCACTCGACTGCTCCAAAATGTTCTTGACAATCTCACTTACAGTATCAAGTAACTGAATTAGTGAAACAAGTGCTCCATATTTCAGAACAAAACAAGAACTCTAATGTGAGAAACAACATTTATAATAATAATTTCAATAAACTTTGAAACGATGAAACTGAGGACATCAAAACAGAGATCAGTAAACACAAACATGTTGTTGGTAACAAAAAAATATGTGCCAAAAATGAAATAGGGTAAATGAAAGTGAGATTTAAAAAGGCTCCATGAAACAAATGCGCGAAGAAATTGAACTTGAGTAAAAGAGAAAATATATAAAAAGATAAGGCAAAAATTAAAGAACGAATAAAAACCAATGAAATAAAAGAGGTAAACAACCAGGACTAAGAAAATTTAGTGGAACATTTGAATGTTTGCAAAAGTTAGAATCTTCGAAATCATGCTACCTCCACAAAGTACACGCTATAACCATTGATATGAGCAACAAAAAACAAGATTATAGGAGCACGAGCAATTAAACATTAGAAAATAAAAACTGAAACGATAATTTTGCTATGCCCATTAGATCACTTTTCAAATTTTAAACCCTTTGGTTTTTTCTTCTGGCGTTTGCTCTGTCTTGTCACCGGATTTTCTTTCTTCACTGGTTTCTTCTGAAAACAAATAACAACATCAAAAGCTTTTTTAATGCATTTCGATGTGATTACTTTCCAGTGAGCAGCAGAAACTTTTGAAATAGAGAATAATCATAACTAAAACTGGTTGCATAATGTTGTAATACATGTAATAATTTTAATTCACTCATATTTCGAATTACTGAAGAAGTTGTGCTAATAGCTTCATATCCGATCAAGCATAAACATGCTGAAGAAATAATGAAAAGAATACAGACTGAGCTGAGAAAAATACAACTCATATTCACAAAAATACTGATGGTGCAAATCAGCTAAAATATACTACTTACACTGTCTCTACACCAAAATTATAGCATTCTAGCGAAAATCTCACTTTTTTGTTCTCAAACTGAGGTTGAACCGTCTTACGAGCAGCCATTTGAAATACACTAGAATTTCTGGTATTATCCCGCAACTGTAATTCAATTAATCCACTCCATAGATTTTAAAAAGGATATCCAAAATTTCAGAACACTCCATCCATGAGCAAAGAAACGTCAACATATCAAAATAAGACTTTAACATGCAGCAACCAATCAGATTACCAGATCTCATGATAATCATAACTTAATGGACGAATGTTTTTCATATTACCAATGAGAAAGCCGAAATTACGATGCAATACTACTAACAGAGAGAATTCTTAGTATTGCTTGCTTTTTGAAAGGTTTAAAAAAAACCAAGACTTCACCAATTGTGAATATTCATTAATAAGCTGTTCCAAAAAATCGATAGCTTTCAACTGCACGTTGTCATTTTTGACACGAAGTAACTCTATCCTCTGCACCGCATACACAAGTGTAAGTGCAGCATCACTTACTTGTGAAACACTCATTGCCTTCGAAAGCATCATTTCTCTGAAAGTTATACATCATTATCATTTTGTATCCACTCCAATATTGCATTAACATTTCAACTATTATTCAGAAGTAAACTCTTTTCTCTAAAGTGAGGTAAGAACTTGTGATCTAAAATATATATAATATTAAGCATCTAAACTTATACATGAAACTCTATACATTACTTTGAATCCCTTACTTTGTCAGACTAAGTTTTTAATGTCTGAAAAGTATTTTTAAACTGCCCCCCAAAAAAGTTTGAATTTATAACAATTAATGCAATTTATACACCAAATATGTCAAAAATCACTATATTTTTGGACATTAAAATTTTCAAATAATTAGTGTAATAAACCACAATTATAGAAACCATATCAAACAAACAGTAGTATCAATGAGGTGACAAATATCAGATGTGGAGTCTGAAAAACGTGATAAATATTAAAGTTTTTGGCATATCATACAAGTGAAGAGCAAGCAGCAAGTACACTTTGCATACTTTATAATTTATGCAAAGTGTGCTTTTTTACTCTTTAATTACTCTCTATATAAATCAACTTCACAAACTGCAAATACACAATTTACATATTTCAATAACGTTTGAGGCAGCCATTAAATATTGCTCACCGAAATGTCGGAAGAAGGCACAATAACAAAGGTAGTCACTGAAACCTGTACAACCGCAGCAGAAGACCAAGGTTAAATATTCAAGCGGATAAAAAAAAATAACTGAACTATTTACTCACTAATGTTTTGTAACCTGCTCGCAGATGCTTATACTAAAAAAATATTAGGTCTAAAGGAATAGAAACACTGAAAACGAAAATTTTAGTCAGTCTATCAAACCAATATTGGCTTTCTGTGGTTGCAATTAAAACTCTGAAGTAAGCAGAATTTAACTCCGAAATCTGAATATTTCTGAAGTCAAAAATCGTCTTTGGGCATTCTGAACAAGAATTAATCTCTGGTAACTGATGAAACTCACAAACATATATATGATTCCTTCTTTGCAGTGCCTCTGATTCTACATCTCAGAGGTCCCAACACCCAGGATCGTCCGCACGTTACTTGGGCTGCAGGAACAATTGACAACGAGCATCTTAACAGATATAAGAGCAATTGCTGCTGCATTTGGGTAAAACCACGAGTTTGGAATGACCCAAGTACTTGGGAACAGGATGAATGTGAAGTAAGCATATGCATAATCTTGGAATAAAATTCATAGTGAGAAAGCTTAGAAACTAGCCCAACGCTATCGATGAAAAATCATAAATTCTAATTTACAAGCAGCGCCTTGCAGGTTGAACACTGTCGAGGTCATACCCTCCAAGGACAACCACAGGAAAAAAGCAAACCATGATAAAAGTAACAATTTGAAGAAAACAAATGTGATTAAATTGTTGCAGGGATATGGGAAAAAAAGTTTGATTTTAAAGTTCTATGACTGCAAAAATCATGTAATAACATTGTTTTGAAAACATGTAAAACATAGCATGCTCGGTTAATTCAGCGAGAGTACCTTGTTAATGAATACAACTACATAATACTATCATAATGTTGCAAAGTATAATATAAAATCAATGAAATAGGCAGCCTAAGCAAGTTTATTTCGAAATCGCATAATTCTTTCATTAAATATACATTCGACGAAAACTTACCGCCATGAATGCTCTAGTAATGATTCAGAAACATTTCCAGCAAATTCCATTCTGTCCTTAATTGTCATCGTTTTTTCGTATGTAGAGATCTGCAGAAAGGAAATACTGAATGTCTTCACGAAATCTACTACTTTGAAAAACCCTTCCTCATTCTACACTTGCATAAAAACACTAGACATAAAAACATTAGATAGTGCAAACTCCGAAGCTCACCATGGCATCTGTAACGACTACGGCTGACCGTGATCTGTCGAAATGAATGAACCACCGTTTTCCTGCATCACTGATTACAGAACATAAAAAACCGTCCTCGGGCATTATGAACTGAGTTGTCTGGTATGCTCAAATGAGTAGTCAGATAATTAAGCTTGTCTACAGTCCCACAATCATACATCCTCTAGGTTGAAAGCAAGAAAAATGATAATAGAGTCATCGAGTACGAACAACTGCATCAATCAATTAGTTCAAAAATATTTGCAGAAAGCAAAAGCGTTTATTGGATGAACAAAGTAAGAAGCAAACATTTTACATGCGAAAATTCGAATTAAAGAAATAAACACAAAATGTAATAAGGTTTATGTGATACAAAAGAAATGAATCAACATTGATGAGGTATGAATAAAATAAGAAGACTACATGTACTTTTGAGGTAGCGACGTCATCAGCTCGTGGTAAGAACAAAATAGCAAGCAGAAAAAGACAATAAGAGAAATAACACTGTAAAAAAGAGCGTGGTGAACATGCTGAGAAGCCTGACATTCTTTTACACAAAAACTTGAAAAGCTTGGATGATTTGCAGGAATATGGAGAGAGAAAGAAAGAGATGCATCATATTCACCGCTCAAACAAAAAGAATGTTAAAGAGAGTAGAAAGAAAGTGAGCACTGACATGATGCGACATGTCAGTATCACTTCTCAGCAACATTTTGAAGTCTGCGAGGAAAAAATGAAGCTGATGACTAGTAAAGGTCCAATGAATCTATGCTAGAGTACTGTGGAGTTGTCAATAGCTTGAAAATGTTGCGAGGGGCGCGGATAATGCGTTACATACCAGTCATGGACATACATCAAAATAGCCAGAGGTTGCCCGAGAATGATCGACAGCCACATAACGATATTTCCCGGTCGGCCTCCCTTCAGCACCTTCTCCGTGAATAAGCTAAGCGGTATCTGTGCCATCATGCACAGATATGCCCAATAGCGGAACATGTGCAGTGGAATAGAGACCTAAAACCATGTCCAGTCAGAGCATATTATAGTACAAGGATACAATATAATGCATATATTTTAGTCCAAATTATGCTAACTGGCACAGTGGTGAGGTATCTGAGTTTGTGCAAAATAAATGCCCGTCTGCGCACAAGCAACAGTTGACGAACGTGCATATGCATAAGTACTGCTGAAATGCCATCACCAAGTTAAGAAAAAATGCATCAGAAACATACAAAATCATTATTTGCTCATTTTCGTTTGACAGCGCATTACATGCTGCTTATAAAAACAACATATCGCTATCAATTCTAAGGCATACACTTTCTCTAATATAGAAAGATATAAAGTATTCCGTTTCTTAAGTACTATAAATCAATAAAGACCTATCCGCAGACAATATAATTATGAAATATTATTAGTTCGGCACAGAACAAAATTGAGTGCCAAATATAAATGGCTGGGATGAGAAAAAGCGTGAGTTTACATTACACACGGCGATCCAATGACGCAGTAACAATTAGTTCACTGGAACAAGCATGTTTCTCCACTACTCGCTTCAACTCTACTGATTCAGCGAAAGATACAAAGATATTGAAAAGAGGCCTTCTTAATCATATGTCACCGATTGCAAGTATATAACTAGCCAACACTCAAACAGAAACTCATCCATCAAATTGTACAAACACTTTCTCTAATATAGAAAGATATAAAAGTACCAAAATTTTTGCTGCACACTACTCACTTACCAAATACTCATGGAAAAACGCAGATACAAAAAATACTGCACAAGCTGCGTTCATCTTACTGAAACCATTGGATAACATTGGTCGGTAGATATGACGCAAAGCCCAGCGGTGCACCGGTATGTTCCATGTTTTCCAAAACACCGCCAACGTTTCGGCGTTCCAGAAATCTCTAAACAGTACTACTTTTATTCTTATGCGTTATCACTGTACATTCAACCTCAACATATTTGCTATTTCGTAACCAGTCACAGAACAATTTCACAATCCATTAAATAAACTACAAATAAGATCATACACACGCACCAATCGCACTATTAACAGTAGTCGGCAACTCATAAACTAACATCCAAGCGAGATGTGACCCAGTACAGTTTGAACATTAAAAATGAGGTATGGAGGGGCTCTCACAATCTCTTCATCCCATTGATGTAGTCAAAAACTTACAAGTAGAACTGTCTATCAGCAAATTTCATCAATTCGGCAACAAGATTAAGGAACGAATGGAATATGGTGTAGAATGAAATAAGCCATATAACATGGTTTGGAATAGCCAGTTTGAGCACTCGTTCAATGCACAAACCGAAATTCATAGTTGTGAAAGGTTCTACACTATTTCGCAACAAAGGTGCCACCCACTGCTGGCACAAAGCGACAATGATTAGCGTCAAACAGATAAGCTGTAACAGCAAAAAGCTAATGCACTCAACAAATTCATCCTCACATTTTTAAGACTACAGAAAGCGCTGAGAAGAAGAATACAGTAAGCCTACAAAACTGTAATGGAGAAAAATTAAAACGTACTTCAGCCATTCGCTTCATTATGAAGGATTTCCTGCACCGGTTTGAGCGAGGAAAATGTAATTCATAGCAGAGTGTCGGAGCAAATATAAAATAGTACAAATCTGGTAATGTCAGATTATGGGGATATCTCCTGATATCCTCACCTCCCTTCAATATAAAATAATACTTATCTCTTCTAAATATTAACAGACACTAAGGAGGTTTAAATAAATTCAGTAAGCAACGTGATGATCATTTATTATATAATCTCAAAATAAGCAAATGTTGAAAAGATTTACGAACTACTATTTTTTGGTCCTGATTTTTTCAAAGTCTCATGTTTTCACTCAACAACTTGTCAGAAGCATCTAAAGTAAAATTAATTGCCACGACTTCAAATAACTTTACAATTTGGTGAAAAACAACCATCTAGAACTATAGACATATAAAATGCAATGCAAGCACGATGCACCGGAAAAGGCAGTGATTTTAGACACAAAAAAATGAAGAAATCTGTGAGGACAGTAAAAATACTGCAAACAAAAAGTGAGATATGATAATGCAATAAACAAAAATGATAATCTAAAAGAAAGGTTGCTACGACACCTCTGCTTAATATCAAAACCTCTACCACGATTTTTAAATAATTTAAAAGCTAAAATTAGCATAGATTTCAACTTGCAGAGTTTCGACCATTGTGAGTCAAAAATTTTAGTTAACATGCGTTTATAATGAACATCAAAAACTTGAAGACTGGGTTATAATGATTAAAAAAACTGAAGAAAAAGGAATAGAAGAAGGTGAAGAAATTATTAAGTAAATTTCACGTGAACACATAGCTACTCCTAGTCACTGACATCCACAAAATGTTAAAAAAATCATCACTGAGAATCAGTTCACAACAAAAACAGGGATGCACTTATTTCAAACATTATAGGTAACTTAACTTACTCAAGCTGAACATCATAATGAAATCACTGAATTTTGATTTCCGTTTTTCATGATACAAGCCACTGGCAGTTATAGTTGTGTAGATTTTCATCGAATTATTGTGAATTAAGGTTTGAAAAAACACGATTTTTTCTAGCAGTAAATCAATTATTAATTACGAAGCACATACAATATTAATCAGCCACAAATCGTCACTCAATTGGAAAATTAAAGCACTGAAATATCACAGAATTACGAAAAGAGCACAAATGTAGCGAATTCGATCAGTAAAACAAAATCATTGGCAAAAGACATGAAGATGTGAGAACTAAATATAATTTTTTCTTGCTCACCTTAACTTTCCCATTTTCGTTTTGTGTATTCAAATATCTATACCAGTAATTAGAATGAGCATATGAAGTCAGTTTAAGAAAAAGTACTACATAAACTGACAAAGCCAGTACTGAATATAAAGGATGACCCTGAAAAATGAAACAAATTTTTTTGCCCTTGAAATGATAATATTAGCTTATCTAACAACATATAAGCTTATATTCGATTAGTTCATCTAACAAAACTAACGCTACCACAATTAAGAGCTACTTGCAAAATCCAAGTGATTGCAGCAGGTAATGATATATGGAGCGTAAATATGAGAAAATATATGATGAAAGCTGATTTGTTGCTCAGCCATTTTCGTGCTGAAAACACGCTCAATTTTTACTAAATTGTAAATTGAGTCAGAACCTCTATTCCGGAAATAAATCATCCATATTGGTGTAAATCTTTGGTTCAAAAAATTTATTTACGTACCCAACAATTTTTCCATAAGGTAGACGATAAAAATGGTTATATTTGACATTAGTAACATTGCCATATTGGGCCATTTCCACCACGGATCTCTTGAAATAAAGTAAATCCAACCTATAGGTGAGACCAATACACCATACCTAAGAAACAAAACTCTCTTAAAAACTATTTTAAACCAAAGATGGATGTTTCATTATCCATATCATCTAGGAAGAGTACAGATTGAAAAGTACCAGAAAAAACTTATTTCAGTAACATATTTAATTAAAACACTAATCACATACTTCATAATATTTTCCAAAGCAACACGACCATTCGATACGAAGAGAAGAAGCACTGCTAGATTGAATATTCCTCTGTAGTCTTTCCAACCCGAACTTCCACTAAATAATGAGACTTGGGCAATATGCACAGGTTTCTCAAAATCAAATCCACTTCTGCAAATCACGAGGTAGAACTTGAAATATACGTGAAAACATTGAAATATGTATAAATTATTAAATAAAATAATGCCAGATGCAAATACAACCATCGAAAAATTGCGAAACAAAAAA